GACTTTCAGGTAGCCTTAAAGTAGTTTCCTCAGAAGGTTACTGCGGAGTCGCGTCAAAGTTTGCCCCTTTTTGTAGCGTTAAGTTATCAAGTTGATCATTTACATCAGGGGCATAGCTAGGGAGGAGGTCCCGGGGGCCAGAAGATCACGCTCCTTCGTGGTATTTTTGGTGGTGGTTAAACAAATTACAAACTTGATACTAAAGCAAGAAAAGGCTAGCCTACGTGCTTCCGAACGAAAACCCCGGTTTTATTCGTCTGCGAATCAGCGACAAATATCTTGTTCTGGCGTATGGAGATGTGGGTACTAATAACAGTACTTCGCATTTTGCCAAGTGACTCTAAATCTTTAGGAAGTTTTCGTTCTTTTTCTTTGGATGACCACTGAACCTTCACATGAACGTCTACATTATGTTTCTCTTTCAGCAGTGGCCGTTTGGCAGCAATCGGAAATAATTCGCCAAATTCTTGGTTAGATTCATGCGTTTGTTGTTGTCTCGAAGACACGCTGGAACATCCTTTCGCTTGAGGTGTTGACGTTAAGATTGAGGTACATTCTTCCTCAAAATGGCTCTTATTTGGTGTAGAGTTATCAATTGCAGCTATTGATGGTAGCTCAACTGGTTCTTTGGCAGAGTACCGCGATTCTTGTGAATTTAGCTGCTCGTTCGAGCGAGGTGTCGAAGGCACTTGTCCATCATCTAAGCGGCTCTTCTTCAGTGTTGAACCCACATTTGTCACGGTAGGACCACTTCCCTTTAGTTCAGGATGTTCATTGATAGTAGAAGCTGGCCTATCAAACAATTCTTGTAACTCCTTCTCAATTTTAGATAGGTTCTCGACAAGTCCTCTTCGCTTTTCCAACAAAGCCAGGCATGACTTGCAAATGTGCTCGCGAGGATTTTCGCGAGTGAATTTGAGACTCAATAGTTCTTGAGCTACATTGAATTTACCTCTCCCTTTTACTAGATATCTTTCCTGGTGATTTATCATATTCTTCGAACAAACTATACATACGCGTCCCATTAAAACATTCGAGCGCTCGTGGTAAGACTTGCCCGGGAAAAAAAAAGAAGGCATATGAGGCAACCTGGTGCGAGTGATTTTCAGCCAATGAGCGCCCTCGTAAGGAACAACCAATCGAAACGAGGTACTCAAATCTCAGTATTCCAGAACAAGATATTTCTCGCTGATTCGCAGACGAATATAACCGGGGTCTTCGTTCGGCTGCACGAAGGCTAGAAAGGGCAAACCTGAAGAATCAACCGCGTGGATATCGACATCACTTTAGGGTAGTCTGACGCCTTCATAATTTGAAAAAATAGGTGGCACAATTTGAAAAAACGAGGATAAGCGTAATTTGGCCAAAAAAGAGCAGTGCTACTAGCATGATATGCAACTTTTACAAGTACAATCTATAAAAGCCTACCTGAAGGTCTTGGTGTGACTTCATTAGACCCTCCCCTCCCCCCTCATTTAGAAAATCTTAACCAGGCTCCTGTGTAATCCATGTCAATCTCCGTGTCTTACCTCCATGATGTTTTTCCACCTTAACCAAGACAAAAAGGTACAGTCAGCGGTTTTTTGAGCCATGTGAAATAGTGATATCGCTCAAAGTGTTTATCTTGTGACTTTTATTCCACCCTGACAAACTACCATCTCGTGATCTACTTTTAACATTAATATGAATAAAACTTCAAAAGTCCAGAAATGAGTGAATAAAAATGTTATACTGTACCTCTTTTCAGCCGGAACCATAACACCTGCCAAGTCACTCAGTTTATGTAGTTTTTGCCAATTTTCACGACATTGCGGCGAAGATTTGGAATACCACTGTCATTAAAAAAAAAACCACAAAAAACACTTGCAGACTTTGGTTTTTTACCCAAAAGATCAACATTGTAATCGCTGTTTACGTGCACTTATATTTTAACTATTAATACAACGAGACACCAACATTATTGACTAGTTTAAAATGAATTGTTCTGTTTAGATACCCAGGAACGACAACAAATTCTGTCAATCTTGCCTCTTACAATTATCTTGGGTTCGCGGAGAATTCTGGGCCTTGCGCAGATGCCGCTGAACAGGCTGTTCGTGAATATGGCATTGCAGGCTGCAGCCCAAGACATGAATACGGTGAGTCAAAGTCCGGGAGATACTCGTTCGTGCGCTGACGTTTGACTTCTCTGTTACTCCCCAAAATGTTAATGAGGCTGTACGGCGTGATTCATGAAGCCCTTTCACTATAACAGATTTGAAAGTAAGAGTTAATTGCTCTATTAACCTGGTGGTTATTTTGGGCAGCCATTGACCACTTTCAAAAATGGCTGCCGGATTTATATTCTTTTGTTTAAATTTAAATTAGCCTTTCTGACCTCGCTTGAGATAATGTATTCTTTTGAATTTTGTACTGGAGAACGAGGCCAGAAAGGCTAATTTAAATTTAAACAAAAGAATATTAATCCGGCAGCCATTTATGAAAGTGGTCTATAGANGGTTAAACAAATTACAAACTTGATACTAAAGCAAGAAAAGGCTAGCCTACGTGCTGCCGAACGAAAACCGCGGTTTTATTCGTCTGCGAATCAGCGAGAAATATCTTGTTCTGGCGTATGGAGATGTGGGTACTAATAACAGTACTTCGCATTTTGCCAAGTGACTCTAAATCTTTAGGAAGTTTTCGTTCTTTTTCTTTGGATGACCACTGAACCTTCACATGAACGTCTACATTATGTTCCTCTTTCAGCAGTGGCCGTTTGGCAGCAATCGGAAATAATTCGCCAAATTCTTGGTTAGATTCATGCGTTTGTTGTTGTCTCGAAGACACGCTGGAACATTCTTTCGCTTGAGGTGTTGACGTTAAGATTGAGGTACATTCTTCCTCAAAATGGCTCTTATTTGGTGTAGAATTATCAATTGCAGCTATTGATGGTAGCTCAACTGGTTCTTTGGCAGAGTACCGCGATTGTTGTGAATTTAGCTGCTCGTTCGAGCGAGGTGTAGAAGGCTTTTGTCCATCATCTAAGCGGCTCTTCTTCAGTTGAACCCACATTTGTCACGGTAGGACCGCTTCCCTTTAGTTCAGGATGTTCATTGATAGTAGAAGCTGGCCTATCAAACAATTCTTGTAACTCCTTCTCAATTTTAGATAGGTTCTCGACAAGTCCTCTTCGCTTTTCCAACAAAGCCGGGCATGACTTGCAAATGTGCTCGTAAGATTTTCGCGAGTGAATTTGAGACTCAATGGTTCTTGAGCTACATTGAATTTACCTCTCCCTTTTACTAGATATCTTTCCTGGTGATTTATAATATTCTTCGAACAAACTATACATACGCGTCCCATTAAAACATTCAAGCGCTCGTGCTAAGACTTGCCCGGGAAAAAAAAGGCATATGAGGCAACCTGGTGCAAGTGATTTTCAGCCAATGAGCGCCCTCGTAAGGAACAACCAATCGAAACGAAGTACTCAAATCTCAGTACTCCAGAACAAGATATTTCTCGCTGATTCGCAGACGAATATAACCGGGGTCTTCGTTCGGCTGCACGAAGGCTAGAGAGGGCAAACCTGAAGAATCAACAGCGTGGATATCGACATCACTTTAGGGTAGTCTGACGCCTTCATAATTTGAAAAAATAGGTGGCATAATTTGAAAAAAACGAGGATGAGCGTAATTTGGCCAAAAAAGAGCAGTGCTACGAGCATAATATGCAACTTTTACCAGTACAATCTATAAAAGCCTACCTGAAGGTCTTGGCGTGACTTCATTAGACCCTCCCCTCCCCCCTCTTTTAGAAAATCTTAACCAGGCTCCTGTGTAATCTCCGTGTCTTACCTCCATGATGTTTTTCCACCTTAACCAAGACAAAAAGGTGCAGTTAGCGGTTTTTTGAGCCATGTGCAATTGTGATATCGCTCAAAGTGTTTATCTTGTGACTTTTATTCCACCCTGACAAACTACCATCTCATGATCTACTTTTAAAAATGTTATAATGTAGCTCTTTTCAGCCGCAACTATAACACCTGCCAAGTCGCTCGGTCTATATAGTTTTTGCCAATTTTCACGAAATTGCGGCGGAGATTTGGAATACCACTGTCATTAAAAAAAATCACAAAAAAGATCACCCAAAAGATCAACATTGTAATCGCTGTTTACGTGCACTTATATTTTAACTATTAATACAACGAAACACCAACATTATTGACTAGTTTATAATGAATTGTTCTGTTTAGATACCCAGGAACGACAACAAATTCTGTCAATCTTGCCTCATACAATTATCTTGGGTTCGCGGAGAATTCTGGGCCTTGCGCAGATGCCGCTGAACAGGCTGTTCGTGAATATGGCATTGCAGGCTGCAGCTCAAGACATGAATACGGTGAGTCAAAGTCCGGGAGATACTCGTTCG